CAGTCCTGAGGTGCTAGATCTCACGGAGGAAGACCTCATTGAAAAGTTTGCAGCTGGTCTTTCCATGGTTACTTCACTGTCTTTGGCCATTTCTTACCGGTCACTTGCGGCAGCTCCCCGTTATGTTCATCAACGCATACAAGAATGTGCTAGCAGTTGCAATTGCGACAGAGTACACCTTCCCACAGGCTGAGAAAGTTAAGGAGTACCTCAAGGTAGATTGCATACTTGTAGTCATTGGATTTTGACCAAATACGACATTACAAGTTTGTACAGTGTTCTAAATTCTCCAAATGGTGCAGGATCCAAGCAAGTTTGCTGTTGCCACTACCGTGGTTGCAGTGGAGGCTGCTGCTGCACCTGCAGCAGTACCTGTGGAAGAAAAGAAAGAGCAGCCTGCTGAGGAATCCGAGGACGGTATGGGCTTTAGCTTGTTCGACTAGGGAGCTCAAGGATCGTCTTATGATTTTCTAGGTTTAGTTTCGACTGTATTCAAAAGAGTATGAATGGTAGTGGCATTCCTTTGTTCTACCATATTTTCCTCTTTTTTCCATGTTTGGCTTGGATTCCTTTCAAAGTTTTGTTTATGTAGTTCTTAAACAATTTGATAATTATGTTTGTTATATTAGAATTTCCAAGCCACATTTAACAAGTTTACAGGCTAAATTATTATTTGCTCTCTCTAAATTGAATATGTTTAACATGTAAATCTTATAATTAATACAAATTTTTTAAGCTCAAACCCCTTAGATAAAAGGGCTCATATTGTTGGGTTTTTAACTAATAATATATTTTGATAAAAATGTCTTTTGACCACTTGGTGGTATAGTTTTTGTCATTTTGACAAAAATCCCTCTCTACCACTACTCCCATTATCGTCGTTATCTTTACTTTCATCACCACTTATCTTTTCTCTCTAACAAGCAAAGAGGAGGAAGAGGTGAAGCAAAAGAGAAGAAGGGAGAAAAGAAAAGAAAATGTTGGGAAAGAAACAGGCAACATTGCCTCATGATAAAACGGAGGCGACGATGGTGCTGACAGCAATGTGTCGATGATTAAGGACAAGAGTGGTGGCGAAGGGATATCTTCATTAAAGTGATAAAAAAAGGTACCCCTAGGTAATTATATTTGATAATTATTTTATTCTCTATTCAACAAAATGTATTTGATAATTATGTTTGATATATTCCCACATTTTACAAGTTTTCTAACGAAATTATTTTTTGCACCACCTAAATCAAATATGTTTAATATGTAAATCTTATAATTGATATAAATTCTTCAAACTCAAATCCCCAATAAGAAAAAAATTTTTTAATTAATGATATATTTTGATAAAAATACTCTTCCACCATGACGACGTTGTATTCGTTGATCCCCTCTACCTCTATCCCCATTATTGGCATCATCCTTTCCTTTGTTGCCACTTATCCTTTTCTTGCTCTCCGCCTCTGTCTCTCTCTCTCTCTCTCTCTCTACTCATTGTTTCTTTTCTCTATTTTCACGATGAGTAGAGAGACAAAAGAGCAAGGGAAAGCAAGGAGGAAATGAGGGAAAAGAAACGATGAGAAAGGATGAACGTCACCTCATGATAGAACAAAGACAACTGTGAGGAGGAGGAAATGAGGGAAAAGAAACGATGAGAAAGGATGAACGTCACCTCATGATAGAACAAAGACAACTGTGAGGAAGGATGGCAATGGTGGTGCTAGCAACAATGTGTCGATGATTAGGGATGGGGGTTGCAACAAGGAGATATCTTCGTCAAAGTGATAAATAAAAGGTTCCCTTAAGTAACAACCAATTAGGGATGTCATTAGTAAAATTTCAATAGGAAAGATTTTTTTAAGGCAAAATACCTATAAAAAAATTTATTTTATTTAAGTGAAGGATAATCAAGGGTTCTCCATAAAATCTAATCTAATATAATTGTCATTTAACAATAATAAAATACCTAATAATTTCATCATAATGAGTACTAATCTTTTTTTTTTGGGACAAATAATGATAGGTTAAAAACTTCATTTGTTTTGTCTAAGTCATGCAATAACTTTTGACACCTATTTTATAAAAGGATATATATATAATTTAATTATTTTATAAGTCATTGTCACATCGAAAGTGGGAGAAAGAGGTTGAGAATATATGAATTATATTATACAGATATAAATGGACTTAATAGCAATGCATTTAGTATTTTGAGACATGCCATCAAAATTATGGTACCTCAAATTAAATAGGGCTATAATGTTGAATGGAAACATAGATTCTTGGATATCTTGGTGTAGATTTTCTCGGTGGCAATTTGACCCAAGCTTTAGATCTGACCTGTCCCAAATTTATGGCCCTCTTCATGCCATACTTTAATGAACTTAGTACCATCAGCCATTACTTCTACCAGCATTTTTTTTCCAAGGAAAGAATTCAATTGTTGTCACCTAAATTGTATGGTTTGTACAAAAAGGCATTAAAAAGGAAAAGAACTACAAAATTAAAATTTTAAATCTATATTATTTTTTTATACCAGCATATCATTTAACCTTTGAATTAATTCCAAGATCGAGAAGGATGGGTGTCGATATATCGATATAATTATTTCTTTATGACCTAAATGATTTCAATCATGAAAACAACCTCTTTATTTCTTGATTTTAATTTTTTAATATTTATTTTATATGGTATTCTATTATATCTTTTTTTTTGTTGATTGATTAAAGGGAAAGTTAAATTCGTCATAAATGTTAATCACATGGTTAAACTATGAGTTTATACCCAAAGGGAGCCCTTTAATTGATTGTTATGTTTGATGTTGGAGGGTACTAATCGAAGTGTCAACATGTTTAATATGATTTCTCTTTATATATATATATATATATATATATATATATATATATATATATATATATATATATGATAACTAGCAATAATCAGTATGGAAGAGTGCTACAATGTACTTTAATTCATAGTAAATAAATCAATGTCCTTTGACAACTTAAATTAAAAGATGAACTAATTTTCTTTTACTATAAGCATAAGCTCTCTCAAAAGACTTGTTGACATAAAAGAAAAAATATAACCAAATTATATGTAGAGGTGAGCTTATGTATACATACATATACACACTTGCCAAAGCTTAGGATGATCATATTTGGTACAATATCAGACTCAAGAAATAGATTTTGGTTGGTCAAAATAAATCAAGAAAATAATCAGCTGATAGTGCTTTGAGTTCTTTAAAGGACTACACTGTAAGCATCCAAAACCTTTGATTTTATGCTTGGAGTTGCACTTAATAGGAAGCTTCAAAAGTAGAGGTGAATCAGATTTATATGACAGAATGAGAATGAGAGGGAGAGAGAGAGAGAGATGATATGAGCTACTAAAGATCAGGATGCTTGAATCAGAATAATAAATCAGCAGAGAAGGGTGACAGAATGGAGAAACATTGTTACAACTCCAACCTGAAAGCATTTCCACTATTAAATACATGCTTCAAGCATTGACCTAAGAATATTCTGATGCATCTCCACTAAGAAATATTTTTATTTTCTTATGCTTCTGTTTGGTAGATCTTTAGAATCACATCACTTTGCAGCAGCATTATTCAGAAACATTCATCCTACCCACCACCTTCCAAACAAGCATGCCTACTATGTGGACAATTCTCATCTCATTTAAGGTATAGGCACTCCAATGCATGCCTACATTGTAAAAGCAATGTTATCTCATATTAATTTCATTGAGTTTAAATTATCAATCCAAAATGCTTATGCTTAATATTGTCATTTAATTTGAGATTTAATCCAATAATATCGTCCTCTTGCTTTGTCGATCTAATACTAGATTGATTTTGATAATTTTTTTTGTCTGAGCCACCGATCGAAAATAATTAAGCACAATTTAACATTAGCATACTCGACTTATCCTTATAAATTAATCCTTTTTTTATCTTTATCCACTTTTAATATAGGATTAAACCACTGCTGCTTGACACAGCGATACATAATCTCAAGAGATTAGTGAGTGTGACATGAAAAAAGTTTGCACAATGATACGCATGATGGACTGTTCTGTCCAACTCAGATTCAAACAAGCCAAGTGGAGAATAATCAATCCATCACCTGTAATCCGCCTTTACTAAAGAGATGTTGAGGTGTCCAATTGTACTTTGATCCACCTTCTTTGCCTTAACAAATTGGGGGGAATTTAAGGAGGTGTGAGATTCCCTTATAGATTTGTTGTCCGAAGAATATTTCCCCACACATTGCTGGTATAAAGTTCTCCTATCTCAAAAGAATTGACAGTGACTCACATACATCAATTACCATATGAAATTTCTCTAAATTATAGCAGTTTGGTTGTGCAAAAATAAGCTTCGCACTTCAAACGTTATATTAGATAATCATTTCTTATACTATTTTTTAATCAAAATCTAAAGATATATTAGATAATTCATACACAATCATATCCTAATTTACATGATGTTTCTTTTATATTGAAATCTTTCTAAATTTTAATCCGGACGAATTCCTAAAAAAAAGCACTATGTTATAATGTTTTCAATAACATCCAAAAAATATCGGTATAAAAACATCGTAACATAATATTTTTATATAAATTTTATAAAAAATATTATCATATAGTATTTATTATATTAAGTTATAGTTTTCAGTAATGCAAATATTGTATAAAAATTATTATAATTGGACTGATTCGGATCAATTTATAGAAAAAAAAAAATCTCCGCAAAATATTTTTTCCCCCCAATCTCTCTCCTCTCTCATTTTTCTAAAACATGTTGATTGGGCCTAATCCGCCATCAGTACGTCGGGACCCACGTCTGGGCTCCACGTGTCAGCCAACGACAAAGCGTCGGCAAAGCCCGTCGAATACGGCCACGAGTCCGTCATTGGGATGCCAAAGCGTACGGCGACGCCCAGCGCCACACCTCCACGTGTTGATGGTCGTTAAATAAGAAGGACGCACCAAAGATCTCCGTCTTAAATAATACCACACCGCTCCGAATCTCTTCCTCTTATTATCTTACACGGAAAGTTCCCGTCACCGTTAACAGACGGAGATTCTTTTTAGAGAGACAAAAAAATAAACACGAGGGAAATAAACTGCCGATATTTATGGCTCAACGCCATGGCAAAATCGGCCGATGAATCGGCGTCAGGCGACGGAATCGCGAACTGAAAGGCTTAGATTGCGGCGGGGTGCAGCTCGATCGGGAAGAAATCGCCCAAGTCTGCGAAAAGACCGTCTCCCGTTTGCCACGTCGATGACAGCTCGAGGAGGTCCAGCCTCGAGCCGAGGAAGAACCCGTCTCTCGAGTCATCGGCCAGCGAGCCCACCTCGGCCGAGCCGTCGTAGAAGAAGCTGACCGGATCCGACGCGCCGAAGCCGAGCAAGTCCACGAAGAAAGCCTCCTCCTCCTCCTCCGGCGGCAGGAACCCGCCCTGCTCCACCGGCGGTTTTCGCCGCTCCTCCGGGTCGCTGGTCTTGGTCTCGGCGGCGGCGGAACAGGTGGAGAAACCGCGGAGGACAGATGTCGGGGAGGAGAGGTTTCGGGGATCCTCGGCGGAGTCGTACCTGCCTGATACGGGGGTCAGGTTGAGGTTCTTCGTGGGCGGCGGCGGAGGCGGGGGGCGGGCGAAGTTGGTGGTGGCGTCGGGGCCGCGGAGCCGGATGGCGGCGGAGTCGTACACCTTGGCGGCCTCCTCGGCGGTGTCGTACGTGCCCAGCCACACCCGGACGCGCCGCCACGGGTCCCGGATCTCCGCCGCGTACTTCCCCCACGGCCGCCGCCGGACGCCGCGGAATCTCCGAACGCCGTCTTCCCCGCCGGATGCCACAGCAGGCTTGGCCTTCCGCTTCTTCCCGACGGCCTTGCTCTTCCCGACCGCCGCGTTGCGGTGGGCCTCGAACCGAATCTCCTGGACGTACCGCCGGACGCGGCGGCGGGAGCGGCAGAACTCGCCCTCGTCGCCGGATGAGTCAGTGGCGTCGTAGTCGTTGCAGAAGACGCGCACGGTGCGCGGAGGCGGCGCGAGGGGCTTGGACGTCGTCACGACCACCACCTGCTCCGTCCGTTTCACAGGCACCAGAAAAGCAGCATCCATCGAACTCACTCCACGATGCTACTCTATTCTCTTGCCATCGGCTTCCTTCCTCTTCCTCCGCCTGCATTCCAACACGACGACAAGAAACCAGCCATAAAAATCTAATCTTTGGCATCCCAAAAGCTCCAAGAGAAACTGAAGGCCCAAACAAAAGCGTTATATGGCAGACCGCAAAAGAAGGCACCCCAAGCAGATAAGAAACAGACTCAAAGCTGAGGTTTTTACTGATGAAAGGAACATCAAGCAGCGAAACAGTGACGACTTACAACACCCCAACACAGCAGCAAATAAGCCTCATAGATTGTATACAGAAGAGGAAATGGGCTTTTAGAGAGAGAGAGAGAGAGAGAGAGAGAGAGAGAGAGAGAGA